CCCAGCTAATTTTTTTTTTTTTTTTTTTTTTTTGTAGAGATAGGGTTTTACCATGTAGGTCAGGCCGGTTTCGAACTGCTTACCTCAAGTGATCCACTTGTCTCAGCCTCCCAAAGTGCTAGGATTACAGGCATGAGTCACCATACCTAGCCTCTTTTTTATTTATTTATTTTTTAGAGACAGGGTGTTTCTATGTTACCCAGGCTGGTCTTGAACTCCTGGGCTCAATCAATCCTCCTACCTTGGCATCCCAAAGTGCTGGGATTACAGGAGAGAGCCACCATGCCCAGCCAGAACAATTATATTTGAGCATAAATGGAGATCACTATGGGATTGGGGATGGGAAGCTTCCAAATTCCCCATCCTTAAGAAACTCACATCCGACTGCAGAGATTCTTAATCCTAAATGTACATCAGAATTCCCTGAAGATGCTGATGTGGTGGCTCATGCCTGTAATCCTAGCACTTCGGGAGGCCAAGGCAGGTAAGTCACTTGAGGCCAGGAGTTTGAGACCAGCCCAGGAAACATGATGAAACCCCATTTCTACAAAAAATATAAAAATTAGTTTGGTGTGGTGGTGCACACCTGTAATCCCTGCTCCTCAGGAAGATGGGGCATGACAATTGCTTGAACCTGGGAGGCAGAAATGGCAGTGAGCTGAGATCACCCTACTGCACTGCAGCCTGAACAACTGAAAAAAAAAAAAAATTCCCCTGAAGAACTTTCATAAATATACCAATGTGGCCGGGCATGGTGGTTCACACCTGTAATCCTAGCACTTTGGGAGATCGAGCCAGGTGGATCACCAGGTCAGGAGTTGGAGACCAGCCTGATGAATATGGTGAAACCCCGTCTGTACTAAAAGTACAAAATGAGCCCGGCATGATGGCACACACGTGTAGTCCCAGCTACTCAGGAGGCGGAAGCAGGAGAATCACTTGAACCCAGGAGAGAGAGACTGCAGTGAGCCGAGATCACACCACTGCACTCCAGCCTGGGCAACAGAGCGAGACTCCGTCTCAAAATATAAAACAATGCCAGGCCCCACCTGCAGAGATTTCAATTAAGTTGGTCTGAAGTGGGTTTTGGGCATTAGTATTGTTCAAAGCTCCCCAGGTGATTCTAACACCCACTGAGGACAGCTGATCCAGGAATTTGCCTTGTGATTTGGGTTCATGGTCACTCCCTGTGTGGTCTGTTGGACCCTGACAAGACCAGGAAGTACTGGGATGAAGGGAGGTACATCTGTGCATCAATGCCCACAAGCTACCAAATGACCAATTCCTCAGAAGCTGGTGACCAAATCAGAGAGGGAGAGCACCTGAAATCTGCAGGCTGGTTTGCTTTCAGCTTTGGTTGTAACGGAGGTGAAGGGGCCCCCATGAGGGAAAGTAAAATAACCCCTGCCCAATGGAGATAGGCGAGGTCAGAACCAGTACCAGCCACTGTTTTAGGAGCTGGAGTCCTAACGAGCAACAACATGGTCAGAAACCAGCACTTCAATTAATTTTTACCTTTTTAAAAAATTTTTTGGTTATTTCCTTTTTGCTGTTCTTTAATTTATCAAAGGTTTGGAACTACAATTCTTGTCTACATCTGAGGAAATCTAGGCCTGAATTCTTTGCTGACACTCCAGTTGGGAGCATTGCAAAGGGACTGGCTCCTGCTGAAGGCCAGGCACATACTGGAACCTGGAATCACAGCGAGCTGCTGAAGCATAGGGAGGGAGAAGTCAGCAGGCCAAGGTGGACACAGCTCAGTCATCTCTGCCATCTCACAGAGACAGAGGGCCTGCCTCTGCCTGAGGAAGCAGAGGTGTCACAGCAGCGACCTTGTCAGCCATCCTTGGAAGCAGAATCTCAGTGAATGAACACCAGGTCGCACACCTGGCAAGGCCGCAATATCGTGGCAATCATGCCTGCCAAGACAACTAGGGATAATCTGAGGGGTTTCTTTGTGGGAGGTTTTGTTTAGGTTTTTTTTTGGATGTTTGTTTTTTGTGTGGTATAATTCACCATTTCTAAATATACAAGGGATACTCTGTTTATACCAAAAGTACCAAGTCCCAAAAGATCCAGAAACAGATGTATTCCAACCCCTTCAACCCTTTTCTTCCACTCATTCCCTCCCTCTACCTGGTCAGACAATTGGACTCATTGTTTTTGGCTCAAGAATTCCTGACCTTTTTGTAGTAAGAATCTACTTTTTCATCTCCCTGGGACCTCAAGATCGCTGGGGAGACACGAGAGGGAAAGCTGGCTGGCAGTGAAACAGGTGATATGGAGAAGGGGAGGGACAGGAATTGGTGCTGCCATTAGAAGAGAGTCCTCAAGAAAAGCCGGGACTGGGACACACAGTGGGAGCCACTGTGTCGTGTGTGGGATGCCTCCTGCCTGGGATCTGTCTTCCCAACCCGCAGGAGTGGCTCTGGCTGTTCTGTTTTAGCTATTTCATCTTGCTTGTTTGGATCTTTCCCGGACTCACTGAGATGGATACTCAGCATCTTTCAAATACATGCCCTGTTTGTTTAAGATTAGCCAGAATCTTTTTCATAATCACTAAACCTTCACTAAAATGACCCTCCAGGATCCCAGCCTCACCAGGAATCCATGACTCGAGGAGTGGGGTCAGGGGAGAGCTTCCAGAGAAGGTATTCTAAGCATGTTCCAAACCACTGGGTGGGAATTCCTGTTATGTAGGAAACCTGTTTTCCAAGACAGAATTGATGTGGCTTTTTTTTTTCTTTTCTTACCTTCTCTCTATCCCCCAACATCAGAGTATACATATCAGCTGGTTCAGGGCTCTATGTAACTTGATATTACCCATGCTGAAATTCAACATAATTTGGCATTTGGTAATCATGTGGCCTATGTTCCTATAACTACCTAAGTAATTGCCTAGATGGCTATTTTGGTAACCAGAGAGTAAATGGCCCAGAATCCATCCTTTAATCTAGCAAGCAGAATGTTCTAAGGTAGAAGCCTGCAGAATGGGCAATTACTTAGCTGTCCTGCACCTTCTTCTGTGCTAAAGGTGGGGAGCCCTGGCCACCCCTAGGGTAAGCCGATTTGTGCTATAAAGCACGAGTGACCCTCAAACCAGACTTTCAGGAGCCAGACTACAATGAAAATTTAGCAGGTCATCCCACACTCCTTTACTGTTTAGAAAGACGCATAATTATTCTGATCCTGCTGAATGAGGACTACACAGTACAAAGCTATAGGATCCTAGTGGGAGACTTCTTAAGGCAATGCCCACAAACTCTGCTTGGGTTCCAAAGGGCCCTCTTTCTCCCCATGAATTTCCATGTATGATTATACTCTAGCTTTGGAAATGCAATAGAATGTAGTGGTTAAGAGGCTGTTCTCTGAAGCCACGCTACCCAGGTCCATATTCTCAGCTCCACCATTCATTAGCCATGTCACCTTGAGCAACGGACCTAACCTATGCCTCAGTTTCCCTATCTGTAAGATGAAACTAATGATAGTACCTATCTCATCAGATTGTCCTGAGAATTAGATATGAACTTGTTTAATATACGTGAAGTATGTGGACAAGTCTCAGCACTCAGGCCGCATGTTATAAGGAAGGGCGATATTATTCTGAGCCTGGGTTAGAAATGGAAAAGAAAAGAACATATGAGAAACAATGATGTCCCAAAATGTGACTAACTACTTGCCACCAATCTGAATTCTAAAGTTGCTTTGTTACCTCATTCAACATACATTTATAAAAACTCTTTACTGAGCAGCAACCATCATGAAAGATCAGGTGATACAGGGACAGCAGCAAGGTGGAGGTGGGAAGGCAGGTTCTTGTTCAGTACACACACCTAGTACATGTGTTTGAAAAATTAAATGTGATTCCATTGTACAGTACTAAATGCTGGATATAAAGCAGTGAGCAGCAGGCACAGATCCCTCATCTCATAAAGGTTTCATTCTGGTAGAAGAGATGAATTTTAAACAATCAGCCCAGATCAAATATAATAATAAATTGCGTCATAATTTACGAAGGAAAAATGCAGGGTGCTAAAGGGTACACATCAGAGGGAGAGGGAGTGTTGTGTCATAGAAAGTCATGAGGCTAGAAGGACAAATAGGAGTTATCCAAGCAGAGTCAGGAAGACATAGTCCAGATGTAGAAAACAACATGTACAAAGACCCCACAGCAGGAAAGAGCTCGTGTTCAAAGAACTGAAAGAATGCCGGAAGGTCCATTAGATAAAGGGTGATGTTGGGGTCAGGGGAAATGATTACAAGAGGAATCAAGAGAGCTGGAAGACACATGCACTGCCATTATTATATAGAGTGAGGAAAGAACATGGTTCTTGGGTCTATTCCAAGTCTCCCATCCTCCAAACTTTCTAGTTACTTCATATTGAAAGGATGAAACTGAAAGTCTTTTAGCAAATCAAGATAAGGAAAAGCACTTAAGCTGCTTACTTATATAAGACAGTAGCTTAAAAATATCTCTGTTCACGCAGTGGGTATTGCTTCAGAGGGTAGCTTTGTCTTTCGATGATATAATTTACTTCAGACGTAGAATCTTCCTACAACAAAAACAAATCCAGCAATTTTTATTATCCATAACATAACAGAGATGGATGATACCCAGATATGTAGTTTTGCATGTAAGAGGTCTGTGCATCCCATTTATGCTGTATATGGGGTTCACTATATATGTGTGTATGTGGATTCTTTCTTTTTTTGGTAGAAGCAAGGTCTCATTATGTTGCCAGGCTGGTCTTGAACCTCCTGGCCTCAAGGGATCCTCCTTCCTCAGCCTCCCAAAGTACTGGGATTACAGGTTTGAGCCCCAAACCAGGCCTTTGTTTACATTTTAAAGAGATTCCTTACTTGAAAAGGTTGGGAATTAAAGCAAGGCCAATGACTTTGCAAAAAAGAAGTAAAATAATTCAATACCCCCATGGTTAGGGTAAACAACATTTAAGTGTCATCCTGCAAATCTACCATATGCCAGTATTTAATAAGCCGAGAAGACTCGTTCAACTACATGGCATCGTTAAATTCAGCCACTGGGGGCACTGTTAACCTTTATTTGAATTCTTTTGAACTGGTGAAAGGCCACTTAGCTGTGTATCTGAAGCAGTGACAGAGGGCTGGGAATATCTACCAATGAATCAGAAGCACTCCCCACACCTCCATAAAAGTCATACAGCCAAAACCACCTTATTAAATTTAGAACAAGTTTCTTCCAGGTTGTGGCCTTACAGAGCTCACACATCCAACTGTATTCTTCCCTGGATTGGGAGTCATGTGTGCAGGGGAAGAGAATGTTCTGTGAGCCTGTCTTCCCTTTTGAAAGGACCTCTGCTTGACGACTGCTGTGAATCAAATTAGCTACTACTTTTCCGTCGGATCCAAGCCCCATTGTCACATCCTCATGGAGCCAGATCTGACTCCCAACCAAGTCAAGTACCTGTCGGTAATTCCCTCTCAGGACAAAAGGTAATCTCCTCAGTAAGCCTCACAATTTTCCACTTACTTTTGTGGTTATTTGATTAATGTCTGTCTCCCCAACCAGACTGTAAGTCCATGTTCCCATATTATTTAGTGAGCAAATATCTAGTTTTATAAGAAAGTCCAACCTTGTTTTTGTGCTGCTGAGCTCTGTGGGCTGTCAGAAGACTGCATACCCTCTCATGGATATTCTTCCATGTGGACTGAGAACCAGGATGGAACCTGCACAACAGATGGAACAGGGTGGAGTAGTAAGCATCTACCAAAAAAGACACTTAAAGCATATGACAATATGGATTGATATTTAAAACTTAATCATCATTAAAAAACAGCAGCATCCAAAATGGTAAACGTAGTGTGATTTCAATGTCTCTCTTAAACCTACCCATAGGGAAAGCACTGGGGAATAAAAACTGCTCAGATATTAAGAATTTTTTGTGTTTCTATGTGTGGCTGAGTGATTCTTTTCTTCTTTATACTTTCCTGTGTTTTTAAGATATTTCTCTCATGAACAAACCCACTTTTACATTTAAAATTTTAATCCAAAAATTTTTAACAAAAAACTTAATCCCAGTTGCTGTTGTTTTAGGGATAGGGTCTTGCTCTGTCACTCAGGCTGAAGTACAGTGGCATGATCATAGCTCACTGTAGCCTTGAACTCTTGAACTCAAGCAATCCTCCAACTCCAGCCTCTCACATACAGAAGACTAACTAGGTACATGTCATCATGCCTGGCTATTTTTTTTTTCTTTAAGAGATAGGGGATTGCTATGTTGCCCAGGCTGGTGTCAAACTCCTGGGCCAAAGGATCCTCCCACCACAACCTCCTAAACAGCTGGGACTACAGGTATGCTCCACCATGAGGAGCTAATTTTTAAATATTTTGTAGAGACAGGGTCTCCCTGTGCTGTCCAGGCCTGTCTCAAACTCCTGCACTCAAGTGATCCTCCTGCCTCAACTTCTCAAAGTGCTAGAATTACAGGTGTGAATCACTATGCCCAGCCCCCAATCCTGGTAGGATAAAATCCTACCACCAGGATTTTATCTTATATCTCATTTTCTTTAGGCCACCCAGATTCCAAACTGAACCACAGGTTTGATAGTCTCTTTCAGTTCCTCAAACATAGAACATTTTCTACCTTCCATATGCATTTGGCAACACTATTTGTTCCCTCTTCTACTTACCAATCCCTCTCCCTACTCTGATTAACTCCTACCCACCCTTCAGAGCTCAGTTCAATTGTTGAGCTCTCAGCAAATCCCTTCTGAGCCCTCTCCTAAAGAGTAGGTCAGCTTCCCTGTTATACGGAATTGCGGTTTCATTTATCTATACCTCATTAATATCACTTGCACCAGTAGACATTTTGTCATTATTTGGTTAGTGGTGGTTTTTACTCCTAGAGTGAAATTGAAACTGAGAATCTTTGCTTAATAACTCATCCCAGGACAGAAGAGGAACTGAATACCACAGTAAGTATTTAATAAATATTTCTTGGGTGACTAAATTCATTCTCTCATTCATTCATCATCCATTCATTTGTATTCAGGAGAGGGATGGTTACCAAATCCTAAAGTCTGAGGTATAATTAAACTAAAAGTGTACATAGCAATTTAATAATGAAAGGCACAGATACTGTTTTCAAAAAACACTCAAAGAATTATAGCCACTTGGGGTCAGGCACGATGGCTCACACCTATAATCCCAGCACTTTGGGAGGCTGAGGCAGGCGGAACACTGGAGGCCAGGAGTGCCATACCAGCCTGGTCAACACAGTAAAAACCCATCTCTAATAAAAATACAAAATATTAGCCAGTGTGGTGGCGGTACATCTGTAGTCCCAGACACTTGGGAGGCTGAGGCATGAGAATTGCTTGAACCCAGGAGGTGGAGGTTGCAGTGGGTCGAGATGGCACCACTATACTCCAGCCTGGGCAACACAGGGAGACTCTATCTCCAAAAAAAAAAAAAGGAAATAAAAGGAAACAAGAAAAGATTCTCTTTATTTAATGTACAGTAAACACTGGAAATGACAGGAACATCTGGAAATTTAGTTGTTACTATGGCTACCATACTAATGACCGCCCTGTGCTGCTGCCCCTCTGCTTGGCTGGTTCCGGCCCAAATCCGGGCCTCCATTCCAGCTCTCTCTGCAGCAAGCATGTCCCATTGGTTTCCAGGGAAACAAGACCAAGAGTACGAATAAATCTAAACAAATCCATTGCCAACCCAAGAAAACTCATAGCAAATGGAAGCACCACCTAAAGCACTGCCCGTGTTTAAGACTACATACATTATTTCTATGCTTCTCTA